AAAACACTGTAAAGCACTATAAAACACTATAAGCCTCCGAGCCAGGCTCCGCTACTCCCGCCGCCGCCTCGACAGTCTCGGGCTCTGTTTCCCCGGTGAGCACTGCAGACAACTCACATTTCCCTACCGCACGTGAACGAGCCGCTCTCGCCTGTCCCCGGAACCCTGGCCAATCTGTGCCCAAAATCAGGGGGTGCGTGAGACGGGAACTAACCCCTGCCTCGACTCTATGTTTTTTTCCCTTACATGAAATTAGCAGAGTCACCACTGGGTATTCGTGAATATCCCCATGCACACACCTCACCTTCACCCATGAAGCCTCCATCAATGCCCCTGTTCGAACAAAGCACTGATGGATCATCGTCTGATTACAGCCCGTGTCCAGCAGAGCTTGGTGTGTACCCCCCTGTATACATACCGGTATATGGTACGTCTCTCCCGGGCCGTGGGAAGAGGCTGGCGGCCCGGCCACCCTGCAGCTGCCTCACCTCCATCAGCAGGCATTCCCTGCCGAAAGTGGCCCGACTGGCCGCACCGCCAGCACTCCTGCCCCGGCGTTTGAGGAGCCCCCCATGGTGCCGGTTGACAGGATGCGTAGGCTGGGCCCTGAGGAACAGCCTGAGCTCTTTCATTCATCATCAGTCCACCGGGCAGGGCTGTCCCGCCTGGTGCTGGGGGGACTTGCTTTCTTGGGGCGGGTATTGGGCGCCCCGCCGGGATCGACTGCTGCCGGGCTTCCTCCTTCTGGCTCCCCGGGGAAGTGAGAGGTGGTCCTCCGCCAGGATGATCGCCTGTTGGATGTCCCCGGGGTGGTGGCACTGGATCCAGTTGGCCGTGGAGGTGGCCAAGCCGGCGATGAATTGCTCCAGCGCCACCGGCCCCACGATGTCCTCCGAGTTGCGTCCCGGCTGGAGCCATCTTCTCGCCACATCCAGGAGCTGCTGCACGTGGGAGAAGGGGCGGCCGGCTTCCTCGAAGGCGAGGCTCCTGAACCAGCATCGGTGTCTCTCTGGCGTGCAACCCAGCCGGTCCAGGATTGCCCTCCTCAGTCGGTGTTAGTCATGCCAAGAGGAAGCCTGCAAACTGTGGGCAGCCAGCTGCGCAGCACCGGTGAGCAGTGGCAGCAAGCGCACAGCCCTCTCCTCCAATGGCCACCCGCAGGCCTCTGCCGTTCCCTCGAAGAGGTCCAGGTACGCCTTTGTGTCGTCTTCCGGGTTCATACGTTGGAGGGCCACCGTCGGCGGCCACTTTGGGATTCCTTGGCCCACTCCAGGAAAGTACAGGAGGAGAGAATGGCGTTTTAACACAGTCTTTATTCTGGTGGCCTCGCCTGGCAACCAGACACACATATATACAAGGGTCTCTCAACCCACACACACATCCACACACGTCCGCCAGCTGCTCCAGTCTCAGGAACCCAGCTTACTGCAAGAGAGCAGAACCAGGTTACCAGCGTGCTCTTATTGATTGCCTGATTACCTGATTCTGCACAGCTGTTGGCGCCCTAACCATACCCCGCCACCACAGCATTTTTCGGGACTCTTCCAATTGAGGTAAATGACAATCAATTCAGGGAATGGGACAAATGGATTTCTCGGTTTATTTGGCAAGGAAAGAAACCGAGGATCTGATTTAGTGCCTTACAGTTAGGGAAAAGAAAAGGGGGTATGGCGCTTCCTTGTCTAAGAAATTATTTTTATGCTTCACAGCTAGCTCCTCTGTTATATTGGTGCAACTGGGAGTATGAAGCCAGATTGAAGGAATTGGATTTTGGAATGTCTAATAATTTTTTTCCTGACAGGCCATAATTGCTGATAGAGGACTTGGAGAGAGATTGGGACTTGGGAGCTGGAAGAGATGCAGGATCTACGATTTGTCAAAATCTTTTAGATGGTGTGCTTATGATAAAGAATTTTTTCCCAACAGAGGGGATAAAAGATTTAAATCCTGGATAGGAAAGGGGCTAATAACCTATCTCTCATTTATACACAAGGGGGTGCTGAAAAGTTTTCAATCACTGCAAGAGGAACAGGGCCTACAGCACATTTTTTATAGATACCTCCAAGTACGACATTATTTCAATCAGAAGTTTTCTAAAATTCTAAAATCAGCCTTTAGTTCAATACCACATAAGTCAATAACTAGACTATAATTCTCTCTTTAATGCTAAAAATGAAAACACCCTGTATGTCAAAGAAAAGTGGGCAAAAGAAACTGGAAAGGGAATTTCTGAAGAGGCTTTGGGGGAAATATGCAGATTTCAGTGGTCCTCCATTGATTCCATGGGTTGCAGAGAACACTGTTGGAAAAATATGACAAGATTTTTTAAGACCCCCTACCAGGAATAATACAAGAATATGAATTTGACATGTTGGATAAAATGTGGCTCATAGAAGGCAAATCATTTCCATATATTCTGGGACTGTCCCAATTTAAAATTCGAGACTCTTTATTTGGGACAAATTTTGTTTTTGTATCAGAGGAGGGATATAAAGCTGTCGCAGGCTCTTCTGGCAGCAAGTAAAAAGTCAATAACAAGAAATTGGCTAAATCCAGGACCACCTATATTGGAAGATTGGCACAGCATAATTTTGGAGATATTGAAAATGGAAAAACTAACCTACTCTTCGAGTGTCCAAAAACACAAATTTTACAAAATTTTGGATAAATGGATTGAATTTATAACCCCAATGCGAGCAGACTTCATAGAAGTATTTTTTTCTTTTTCTCTTCTCAAAGCGAATTGTAGAAATGTAATGGTTCATTTCTTTATAGATGAGTTTTTAACAATGGGTGTGATGGGCATATGTAATAAGGTGAAATGTAAAAGCTGCATACTGATTGAAGTAAAATGGTAAATGGTTGTATTTATATAGCGCTTTTCTAGTCTTGAAGACCACTCAAAGTGCTTTACACTACAGTTTTTCCATTCACCCATTCACACATAGAGTGCTTCTATAGCTAGCACTTTTTGTTGTTCTATTGGGCAGTTTGGGTTCAGTATCATGCCCAAGGGCACTTTGGCATGCAGATGGGAAGACTGGGGATTGAACTTCTGACCTTCTGGTTGGAGGACGACTGCTCTACCCCCCTCAGCCACAGCCACACCAAGTGGCAATACATACAAGTAATTAAGATGATACATATGTTTATATCATATAGATGTGTGAAAATATCAAATGAACAAATTATTGAAAGACAATGAAAACATTTGCATATAATATGTTATATTGCCTTTTCCAAATAACATTTTCAAAAGAAAGATATACATAGCAATATAATCAGGATAAACCACACTAGAACTAGGAGATCACATAATATCACAAATGTAATGTAGTGATGAAAATGTGAGACTAAATCCTGTGCAAATTCCACGTGTTTGTTTACCAGGCCAGGCCCTTGAGTAAATTAAGTTACTATAATGTTTATAGTGTGTGGATGTGTCAATATGGTGAGATGTATTTAAATCAAGTACTTTAATAACCTAGATCCTATCAATCATCCAGCCCAGAGAGAGTGCTAAGGCACCCATAGATATAGAGTGATGCATTCACACCAACTCAGTTGTCCACTTCCATCTCCCAAAAACCATACACAAATGAGCAGAAAATGTAAATGTAGAAATCAAAGTACAACCAAAACCAAATGCTGTGGAAGCCATGGGGGAGGGGTAGACTGGCTGAATATCCATTCTTATATTCTGCAGCCAACCAGACCTTATCAGCTGCCAGGGTCCACTGGAGTGGAGATCTCTGGGATGTGAGGGCTGTGAGAGGGGCGACCACTGAGCTGTAGTTCTGGATTCCAGATATTCAGGAGGGACTCCTAAAAGGCCATACATCTTGAGAAAAGTGTGAGATTTATAGTAGAGGAGCAAGCAGAATGAAGTCACACAGCATGGCAGAAGTTACTCCACTGTAATACAGCCCCAGTCTCCCATTCTATGTGAGGGTTGTGTTTCTTCAGCCATGGATAGCCCCAAGTAACAGGAAATCAGTGGAAAGTAATCGTCTTGGTGGAGACCGAGTGGATCGGTGAGGTTGACCCTGGGAGCAAGCAAAGCCGGACCTCTCCTTCTGCCATTCAAAGAGATGTCTGTCAGTACGGATGGGGAGAGCAACTAGGGCATCCATATCCACTGGGGGCTCCCGTGCCGCCAACTCGTCCTTAATGCCTTCCAACAGTCCATTTTAAAAGGCATCAAACGTGAGGGTGCATTCCACTTACTCACGGCTGCACAACACTGCGGAACTCGATGGAGTAGTCTGTCACTGTATGCACGACCTGGGTGAGGTTCAGCAGAACCCATGCCTCTCTATCAGGGAGTGGTGTGGTCAAAAACCTTAAAAGAGCTCAATGGAGAATAACTCGACCATGGCACAGGAAGAAGAATGTCTCTCACACTCAGCGGTTCCCCATACCTTGGCTCAGCTGGAGAGGAGCAATATATGAATGCTACTCGTGATTGTTCCGTGGGGAGGGAAGAAGGGCGGAGCTGGAACATAAGCAAAATATGGACCAGGAATTACCAACAGGCTCCAGGAGACCTGAATAGCATTCTGGGGGCGGTAATTGTGCCTCTGAAGCCGGAGATGAGTGAGCTGGCCAACTAGTTGAAGAAGGAGGAACAGCAGCAGGCTCGGAGATGGTGAGCCTCTGTAGATGGTCACGGACAGATTCCAGGCTGATGTTGAATAGTCTCCACTTGAGCCCTCAACTCCTGCTCGAGAGGGTCTGAGTCAGCTGGGTTCATACTGGCCAGATTATTCTGTGACGACTAGAGACAGAATTGAACCCAAGAGCATGACAGCAGACAATCTTAGGTGCAGAAAAGGTGATTTATTCACCAGAGATCAAAAAAATATCCAGATAAAAGTAGAGGTCGAAACCAGAATATCAGCCCTACAGCAAATAAATCTGACGGGGCAAGTGAAAGGGAATCCAATGTCCGAAAAGCGGTAGTAATCTGATCACGAACGGTAGCAGAATACGGGAAATTAATGATTGAGAGCCAGGCGGAGAGTTGCGACCGAACCAGTATAAAGACACATTTGGGGCAGCTGTGGGAGTAGAGTGGTTGTCCTCCAACTAGAAGGTCAGCAGTTCAATCCCCAGTGTGACAAACCATCTGCTACACACCTACACTTACATATTTTGTGTCTTCTAGGAGAACCGCACAAGTTTGATCCTTCCTTCAGAGGTCCAGTCTGCAGAAGGTAACTACCTCCCCCCTTTTATTTACATAAAGCAGCAGGGTTTATGGATTCTGTCCTGAATAACATGATGTTTTGCCCAGCTCATTCATGAAATATTGTCTTCACCATTATTGCCATAATATTTTAGAAAGGTCACTCCTTATTGTCTTCTTAAGGGAAAAACAAGCTGTGCAGTACATCTGGTCTGCAGTGATTCATACCATCTGTCGTCTGCTGAGTCTCAGCTTATTAACACCCATCAGTGATGCCAATGAAGAATTAAACTAAGAAAACTATTGAATTATCTGAATTTGTGTATTTTCTTGTATCAGTTTTTACATTTCCATTCCATCCTGTGCAGATATTAGGTTTACCAGCTAAAAATGTCAAAAAACTGGAAAGATCTCTACTGATCTCCACTAATGTTTAATGATGTCTTATCATGGTTAATGGATGAAATACTTCTACAGCTTTTAGTTTTAGTGATAGATAGTGTTGTTGGTTAAATGTATATAAACACTTTGTATCTGAAGTCAGTTAACTTTTTCTGTATTAAACTGGTCACATTTTCACAATTACTCATTTGGATCTATAATTGCATCTTTAGGGTTAGATGTGACTAAGATGAGATGTTTAATTATCTCTCATACTATCTATCTCATGCTATTTTCTCTTCACAATCAGCTTGTGATGATTCTCAATTCTAGTCAGTATGTAAACACTAACTGATAGTTATAATGGACGTATAGAGACTTTTTAAAAATATATTTTCTGCTGTGGTTTACAACTTGTTTCTTGTCTGTCTCTTTAGAAGCTGCACTGATGTCTTGTGTTGTTTGTTCTTCGTTATTGTCATCCTCTCATATGTGGCCCTGGGGATAGTGGGTGAGTGTACACCCACACACACACACAAGAAAAACATGCTCTCTGGTTAATACACACATGGTCTTTGTTGTTTCTTCTTGATCTCAATCATGCTAAGCCACACACAACATAATACCACTACTGTGTTTGTATACACTTCAGGAACAAAATTTGTTTAGCCTTGTTGCCAAATGAATATGTATCAACTGCTATTTCCAAGGTTACAAACCTAAACTACACATTGATATTATTCTACCAACAATGAAAAACAACAATGTGTAATGTAAAAGAAGTTGCTCATAGTAATGAAACAAAGGACAACTTGAAGCACAATAACACAAAAGAACAAATAAAATGCAGAGGCAGTTATCCCTCTAACCTGACGCACACAGGTGTACTGCACATTTCATTGGAAACTTTATTAAAACTTTATTGGAAAAAAAGAGCGAGCGGTTTTTAAAAGTTCTTGGCAGGTGATTGGATGAAGCATTTGTGTATGGCTGTCTGACAATTAGCAGTAGAGCAAAAACATCTTTTCTATCAAGAAAGGCCTTCAGTGTTGTTTTCTGCTCTTCTTTCAATTAAGAAATACTCCCCAGTTCTGATGTAATTGATGTTGGAACAGCAGCTTCATCAACCTCTTTAGGGGCTGCCATGTTTGTTGTCTCTTCCTGTTGTAACACCTAAGATATGCCCGTTAGTGCCAGTACTTACTCTGTCACAGGACAATGGTCTGAACCACAGCATTATCTTTCTCTGTGTTCACTCTGAACTGAGCGTGCCAATTTAACTTAAAAAGGCCACCATCAATGTAGCTACATCAGATTTTAAATCAGATTTCAATCAGATCTTGATGAACACCGAAGACACATATCATAGGTGTAACTGTCTACAGTGAACTTGATCTCGGTTTCTAGGACATGAAACCCAGAGACAAATTCAAGAGATTCCCCCTAACTGATGGTCATAATAATTTATCAGATGTTGTGTGTAAGGTTACAGCTCCACCATCCCCAAATGAAATTGATTATTGCTGCTTCAAGTGTTGAGATCTAAAAATGAGAATGCTGCTTGTTATTCATATCACAGAAGAACTATCCAGGGTAATTACCACTGAGCATTCTGACTGTGCTAAATCACCCAGTGTCCTCAATGATCTTACTTTTCATTGGTTTACTTGGGTATCAGAGCAGTGAAAAAATACATATTGTAATGTAATTACTGATCATGTGTCTGATCATATTGAACAGATAATTAAGAATTACTCTCTTTTTCTGTCCTTCCATTCTCTCTCTCACTTACTCGTTTTTTTATTGTGGGAGCTGGTTTCCCAGCTTTCTTTCCTTTTCTTTCTTTTTCTTTTGTGCCTCAATCACATTGATTGTATTAGTAAATAGGCGTTTGGTAGGAGGGAGAAAAAAAGACAGGAGAGAAAGCAAGAGAGAAAGCAGGGAAGTGAGAGGACTCACATCACTGCAAGGCTTTTCTATGTTTTGCCCTGAGACACAGAGAGAGCTCACAAACTAGGGCTCTATTTTAACAATTTGACCTCATGGAGTGAATGCATTTAAAACATGGGGGCTGCACACCCATATTCCACTAGCATAAGGATGAGATCATCTTTGTCTCAATAGCCAAGCATTAAATCTCATTTTCTAGTATGATATCAAGGTGGAGTTAGATCATGGAGCTTCTTTCGTACAGAATTGTTGAATCCGGACAGTCTGAATGAGAAAACCAAACACTCAGATCTGTGCATGTATCAACCTATATCAGTTTGATTTGTTTAAGTTCCACCTAAACCAAGCCTCAAACTGAAATAGCGTGCTTTTCCTTAACCTTGTCATGTCAGTGAAAAAATAACTGAAGCTACTGATTGAAACTGTCACAAATAGAACTGAGGACATATGTACCTACATTTTTACGACGACCTCTGCAAGCCAGCAGGTGTGATTCCAACTACTCCAATTCCTTTTACCTTAAGTGGTCTCATTTTCATATGTGTGTATCTGTGTGTGTGTGTTGCCTCATATCCAAGTATGACCTCATTCCTTTGTTAGTACATGGCAGATGCAGTTACACAGCAGTCATCCATTTGTGTGTGTGTGTGTATGTGTAAGGGGAGGGGGGTTACTGGTGACATCATCCAATAAATAGGATTTGAACCCGCAATTCCTACTTTGTATGGACAAGCATGCACTTACCACACAAGTCTTAATTTCTACACATACTCCAACACGTGCACACATACACACTTGCATATGTGTTCTTATCTTGTGTGTGATTGAATGGTAGTCTGAATAGAGTGCATGCACACAGAAACACACATAATCACACTAACAGGTGCACACACTAAAACAAAGACAGTTTCTAAAACCCAGCTCTGCTACTACCAGACATGGATGACATCATTCCTGATGACATCAGCCTCATTCTCTCATGCATAGCCGCTGACTGTACTTTGTACTTATACCCCATCTCCTTTATTCCTCATTCCTCCCTCCTTCCATCAGACACACACCCATGCACACACACACTCACTCATGCATGCATACTTGCACGCAACCACACACAAATCCTTCTCTGTTGTGTTGTGCAAATTCAATAAACAGTAAGAAGCAATTATTTTTCTAATATTTTTCTTTTGACATTTTAGTATCATAAACATTTTCAATATCAACATAAATGTGTAATTAAATATATAAATATTAAGATATCAGATAGTTCGCAATAACCACACTGTGTAAGTGCTTATTTGATGCAGACTGATGCAAATACACTGTATCTTCTGTCCATCTGCCCAGCCTGGTTACATGGGGACCCCAGGAAGGTTCTCCATCCAACAGACAGCTATGGCCAGTTCTGTGGGCAAAAAGGAACTCCCAATGCGTAAGTCAATGTTTTTACACCCTCGCCGTTTGGTTCCACAGTCTTTTAAACAGCTGTGCAGAACATTAATATCATTATAACCTGACTTGTTTCAACCTGACTTGTTTCATAGGTTCACATGAAGTTACTCAAGACATAAGGGATAAGAGATTAGTTTTATTCTGTACTTTCCTGAAAATGTGATTTAATTTAATGTAATTTTATTCTGTGTCGACAGAATTGTAGTGTGAAGGTTGAATTTGGGAAATTTGGCACACATTAGCTGTACACTTTTTATTTCCTGGTCTAACAAAATCTAGTCAAGAGCCCTTCAATCCTCCAATCGGTAAGCTCCCCAGGACAGAGATGTTTCAAAAAGCATAGAAGAGTGTCTGTCCTGTGGCCTGCATCCATTGGTTTCTCCAAATATGTGGAGAAGACCATGGGGTGATCGTTTCATTCCCTTAATAGCCCTAATAGAATGGCAAGTTAATGAATGAATGATCTGTTATTGTAGCTGATTGAATTTTAATAATTGTAGTTGATTGAATTTTAATAATTGTAGTTGATTGAATTTTAATAATTGTAGTTGATTGAATTTTAATGAATTGTTTTTAGTTTGATACACCTTTACTGTAATAGAAAGTTTTAAATGAATACTGCAGTTTCTTTATTTAGGCTCGTGTTCTTTATGAAGGGGGCACGTGTTTAAAGAAGGTCAAATAGATTTCAAATACAATATTAAACATTGTTTCAAATAACAACATACATAAAAATGTATCTTGTGTGTTAATAATGAGTTGTGAGATTGGGGGGGGATGTTGGGTCGTTCAGTGGATCTGAGGCTCAGAGTGAGCCTGTGCCCAAATAGGCCTTTTTCACAGCAGACATTTTGACAAGGCATTGAAGGAAAAGCGCATGTGAAAACATTAAATATGTCTTTGTTCACTTCAATAATATTTTTTATGATTTACACCAGAGCTTGTCATGCTGTAATTGAGTGAATTTAAAATGAAACTCAAATGTACAGTTGTCTTCTCTTCTTTCTCGTCCACATACTTTAACAAGAGATACTGATTCTCTTTGTGACAGGTCCAAAATGAAACTTCTCCTCATGAATCTGATGCAACTACAGTGATGAATGAGACTGTTTTGTTGGTGGGCTGCAGGAGAGCGATAAGTGTGTTTTTGTGTGTGTGACTAAGAGATAAAGACACACATCCTTTTAGAAGGTGCTTCCTTTTTGTGACAGACTGAAGGGTTTGCTCTATCTATTGAAAATATTCATATGATATGAACAGTAAGTGGCACAGCACAGGAGTGGGTGGAGGCGGAGCTCCGGGACCTGTGTGTGTGTGTGTGTGTGTGTGTGTGTGTGTGTGTGTGTGTGTGTGTGTGTGTGTGTGTGTGTGTTTGTCTGTGTGTGTATATGTGTGTGTGTGTGTGTTTGACAGTTATTGCTTTGCATGTCAGTACCCAGAGGGACATTATGATCATCAGGATTCTAGTTAAACACAGGAATANGTGTGTGTGTGTGTGTGTGTGTGTGTGTGTGTGTGTGTGTGTGCTTGTGTGTGTGTGTGTCTGTCTGGGAGCACACACATTTTCTCTTGCTCCTGATATTTCACATGATGGCCTGATACGTCGCTCACATTCACATTCATCGTATATAAACTGACTCGTTCAGTTTATTGTTCATAAAAAATATGAACGTGTTCATGCACATGACAGCTCTTCTTGAATGGCAAGATGATAGGCAGGGCTTGATTAGACCAAAGTTCAAACTTGGACATCAGAGATGAGTCACACTGAGGTGCCAGCTGCAGTCATCGGGCTCTGATGGGTTTAAAAGTACGTTAACTGCCTTGATGAGTCATAATCATGTGCAGCATGCTGTTGACCATGAGGTTGTTGGAAGATTTGAATAGTTGAGTGAAATGTTGCTGTTGTCAGTGGAATGATTTGCTAATAGATGGTTTGGTGTCTATGGACCCAAGAAGGGGAGATTATATTGGGGTCAGCTCGACCTCTGAAAGAACAATGTTGTATCACTTGTTTTGACCAAAAATGGCTGCAGTATGGGAAATACCAATTCCAGCATGTGTCTTTATCTGGCCAAAGAACATATGTAAACACACACACACACACACACACAATGACACAACAGTACAAGTTCTAACCACTAACATGTAGCAGCCAGAAAACTGCAATCTATGTAATGAAGAGATAAATATGGAGGAATGACTTTTAATGGAGAGGAAATGCAGAGATTTTGGGAGTGATGTGAAGCTGGGGGTCAGGCCGTGCAAAGAAATGTAGGACTTAATGTGACTTCTTTTGAATGTACAATACCCTCATTATAGTTTCTAAAATTAATTAGTGTCTTAAAGGGATAGTTCACCAAAAAATGAAAACTCACTCATTATCTACTCACCACTATGCCGATGGATGGGTGGGTGAAGTGTTCGAGTCCACAAAACACTTCTGGACACTTGAATGACATCACATGAGCAGTATGGAGGCATGTAATGTTTTTTCTGTTGGTTTATTACGTCTGAAGAAGGACTCACCATTGACTTCAATAGTATTAGATTCTGCTCTAACAAAGTATATCCCTGAGACTCCAGAAGTGTGTTCTTTTTATTAATCAAGGGCCTAACCAAGCCTTGTAGTTGGCTGATGTATTTTTCTTTTTCTCTAGATAACTGGCTACAGTGTAGTTTGACAGTGGCTCTACAGCTTTTCCTTTTACACAAATCTACAATGAATGTTTTTCTCCAGTTTTCACTCTCACAATTGGGCACACTACAGTTAAGCAGTGAGATATTTTGCTAATTTACCTGTCAAACTTCTTATTTTGCCCCCACCTTACCTAGAAGATTTTGTATAATGAAGAAAACACAGTCCTGCTTGTTCCAATGCCTCAGTGAAAGAAATTATATATAATTTAATGTCTGTTTGCACCCAGCTGCAAGTAGTCACACAGCAGCTATTAGGCTGTATTTCTTGGCATTGGTGCATTTTCATCAAAAACAGCAGAGAGAAAAGAGAAACTTATGCAATTTGCCACTTAATAAGCACCATATAGAAGTGGGTGACATCTGCTGCCACCAGGTGCTTTTGAGCTGCCTATAGGCAGTCAGATGAGGATGTATGAAGAGTGACTTAGTTTTCAGACATAGTTGGTTTATTATTTTCAGTTGCCATTTATAAGTTTAGGCAACAAAACTAGTTTGTTCGGTTTAGGACCAACATCTGTGACCAACATGTCATTCTTACGAAATAGGAGGTCAGATCACCATGTTTATAAAGGTATTACCCTGCTAAACAAAAATTTCTTCTTTCTGCTCTGCTATTGCTTGCAAATATAGAAAAGTGAAGCAGCGTTGTTAGAAATAGGCTAAATAACTCTGGCCTTGTCAAAGGTCACAGAATGATCACATATGGTATTAAACACTTTTTTTGCAGGAAGAAACCCATCCTATTCTACTTCAACATCTTAAAATGTGCCAACCCAGCTATACTCATCAACCTGCTGTGCCCCACAACACAGGTATCTTCACATAATACCACACACAGCTCCTGATATATCATATCAGTTAAACATTAAGATAATTAACCTGAGGACTCAGACACAGAGAGGACTCCATACCTAAAACACAAATTTGAGGCTGAGCTAAAGTAGCTTGATGTTTATGACAGTGCACATGTCCATAACAATAGCTAGATATCTTCCTGAATGCATTAGCAAACTTAACTATCTGTGTTAATTTCATTCCAGATGTGTGTGTCACAGTGCCCTGACAAGTTTGCCACCTACAGTGAGGTGCAGCTGCAACACAAACTCAACAAGAGTTACTGGGAATACTATAAACAGTTCTGTAAGCCTGGATTTAATAACCCTGAAAAGGTACTGATGCTGATATAAGTCATGCATTTATCATTAAGACACACATGATAAACTATTGTTTAAAAAAGCATCTTTGCAGGTGATGTACTTAACATTCATACCAGCAGCTCTCTCTTGGAACTTATGTTTTAAATTATTTTTCTCCTTTGTGTTGGTGCAAAACGCACAGAACACATCAATTCACAAAGACCAGCAGAACACACACACACACACACACAAAAGCATGCACAAACAGGTTGTTATTCTCACTTTCCTGTCTGTCCTGTGTTTTCCAGCCAGTATCTCAGGTTCTAAGAGATGAGGACTGCCCCTCCATGATCATACCCAGTAGACCATGTAAGGATTAGACAATCTCCCACAACTAATGCAACATTTCAACCAATTACTGTATGTCAGTGTTTACATTGAATGGTAGGTAAGAGAAGTCCACATTTGACAAGCCAAAAAATCTAAATAACTATCTACTCACTCAAATAAATCCTCACTATTATAGAATGTATTTACATAATGGATGGATTTGCTTATCAGCTTAATATTTCTTCCCCTGGTATAAAAGCAGTTTCAGAGGAGTCATCAGAGTTAGACAGTAGGAAGTTAGACAACATCAGTGTGCTCACAGTGTATTAGTATCACTCTCATCTTTGTGTATTTATGTTTGTATATCAGTTCTCCAAAGATGTCTACCAGACTTCACCACTCTGAATGGGACTGTGACTATAGCAAACAGAACTAGGTTTAAAGATGCTCTGGAAATTCCACACAGTGTCAGTGAACTCCAACATGCTACCAAGTACTGCAACTTATTATTTTACTCATTCATTCATTTTTATGAACTCATATACAGACTTCATATCTACAGATTAAGTAATTTCTCTCTCCACTGAGCAGGACTATAACAGGACTTGTGGACACTAAGGAGATGGGCATGAAGATAATGGAGGATTATTCTCAGTCCTGGGCATGGATACTCATGTAACTACAAAAACAATATACAACATTTGTGTAAAACCCCACCATCTACTCTGGTCTCAAATGTATTTAGGCCACATTTAATATTTTGCCTGTATGTACACTGTTAGTCTTTGGACATACTTATAAAAGTCAAATTTCAGAAGCAGTTCTCCTTATGTCTACTATCCTTATAAAGTTTTTACAGTTTTCCAAGTACCCACCATCATTTACTTGTCACTGATAGATTTACATTGTAAATTTACCTGATTTGTTTTTATACCTGATGGTCAATAAATGTAATGCAGAGACTGTGGTCCTCCCCTGAGACAAAGCTTGGAAAAAGACTCCTGAGTTTGGTTGAATTTAGTTTCTTGATGCCTGTGTCATGATGACTGTGATCTGATTCCATAGGCAATCGACAATTGAGCAAAACATACAAGACAGATGTTAGCATAATAGCATTCACTGCTTGTTATGATAGTAACAGTAGCTAGTAGTTGCTGTTGAGCAGAGGTTACGTTAGCCTTTATTAAACCATATGATTTTTCCCTGCACTTTAAAACCTGCTGACAGAGGTCTGCTGATATCCCTGGCTGTTAGTCTGATCTTCATCCTGCTGCTGAGGTTCACAGCTGGGTTGCTGCTGTGGACTACCATCATCACTTTCATACTACTGCTGGCATATGGTGTGTACTCTAGTAGTTTTTAGAATCTGGCTGTTGTTATCTAATCATGCTGGGAGTACATGGGCTTAGCATCTATTAAAATTAATTGTAATGTGTGTGTGTGTGTGTGTGTGTGTGTGTGTGTGTGTGTG